TTTAGGGCTTAAGGTTTAGGCTTTAGGGTTTAGGCTTTAAAGTTTAGGACTTTAGGGTTTAGGGTTTATCTGAACAGCATTCGGGCTTAGTGTTTGGGGTTTAGTTGGACCTTAAAGGTTCCTAGTTAAATACTTCAAGGCCAATGCAAAAGAGGCCAGAAAAGGGCATAGGTCCTGCCCTGCGTTTAAAGCACGCAGTCTCATCGGAGTCCCACACCGTCACAGCTTCAGCGAAAACCCACAAACCTTACAGCCTAAACTCCCTAAACCCTTAGCCCTAAACCCTGAAAACCGAAACCTACTGTCTGTACGAAACAAGCGCGTTGAGTCGCCTGGTGAGGTAGGGCGCGGAGTAGAGGATCCTCAGCTCCTGAAAGTGGGCTCTTGTGAAGAAGCCTCCTGAACCACTAGAAACAACCGATAATATGAGAGAGAGAGAGAGAGTGAGAGAGAGAGAGAGAGATATATATATATATACGTATAAGCATGTACCTATACGGCAAGGACACATGGTAAATGCTATGCTTTCCTCACTAAGGTAGCAAGCGCAAACACCCGAAAACCTTCTATCTTACATAAGTGCATACATGCCTCGATGCATAAATGCCTACATGCATACATACTACTCCTTCTCCCCCTCCTGCTACTACTCCTAGTCCTACTCCTACCCTTACCCCCGACTCCTGCTCCTCCTCCTCCTACAACTCCTCCTACAACTTCTCCTCCTCCTACTACTACTACTCCTCCTCCTGCTGCTGCTACTACGACGACTACGACGACGACTATGACTATGACTACGGCTACGACCCCCACCTCAATCCTATCCACCCTTGGTCTCCTCGGATGCGCTCAGGAAGCCACCCAGCCCTTGGCCAGTTAGGGCGACTGCATAGGGTAGAGTTTAGGATGATTCTGAGTTAGGGTCTAAGAGGCTTAAGGTCCCTTTGTGGGGCTCAGGGCTTCGATTCCATGTTTCGTTCGGTCGGTTATCTATGTTGCCAAAGACTGGGTCGCACATGCTGCAGCACATACCGCTCCTTTCTTGGGAAAGGCACTGACACCGATATACATGATGATCCTGATGAGTCTTTGAAAGCCGTGAATCCATAGATTCCCTGCCGCATCATCTCTGGGTCAACTTGGTTGATGCTGACAACATCAAGGAAGCACGATTGATGCTCCTTCCCGATGTCCTTGGCTGTTCTTGGAAGCCCTCGACATATAGTTTTAATACTTCGGAATGCGGAGCGTAGCTCTATGGCAATCAGGAGACTGTCTTCTTGGAGGAACCGCGAGATGACTATATGCAAATGGGAATTGCGCCAACATAGATCCCCAAACAGAGCATGACGACCACAACCACCGGAACCACCACGACACCACCAGAGATCATGAGGAGACGAAGACCACTAGGACACCTCGGACCGCATGTTCCGCCCCATGTACTCGTCTGATTCGGAGTCAAATGCTCCCCCCCTCCTGTTGGGGAAATTCCGGACCAGGGCCAACATGCTTCCCGGTGGATTCACAGACATGACCACCATGCTTCCCGCAAAGACTGGCGGGACTCGGGAGAACAGCCGAAATGCTTTCCCCGGCCCAGTATGCTTGTGAGATTGGGACAATTCGAGGCCAACAGGAGGGCATTGCATTGGAATTTACAGCTCCTGTCTTCTTCACATAAGAACCCCATAGTGCGTACCACTTATTGGGAAGTATTTCCAGAACCCTAAACCCTAAACCCTAAACCCTAAAACGGCCGAGTGGCTGGAAAGTAGGGAGCCAGGAAGAACGTCAGGACAGACACGGGCAAGGCTACCAAAAGGCCAAGGCCACCTTTCATTTTCTCTGAGAGCGTACATGGGTAGTTGTCAAAATTATGGTCTCTTTTGGGGTACCCTAAACAATAGGTGCCGTATTATAATAAGGACCCAACCAGGGACCCTAATTTTGACAACCACCTACATCAACTATGCCGTCTCGGCTTAGGGCGTATAGGCTTTGAGGATTTGGGGTTTCAGGGCTTTCGGGCACAAATCGTAGACCTTAGGGGTTAGACTTCATTGCGGGTGTAGTATTTCGGGTGTAGGTTGTACTCAAACCTTGAACGGGCCAGAAACTGCTTGTTCTGAGCACTTCCAAGTAGCTGAAAGGGCACTCCGCCTCAAAGCCCTGGTAGCTGAAGCTGGTGTAGCTGATCACCGGTGCAAGGCCCAAACAAGTCAAAAGCCTTCGTTGAGTTCCCTGGCCCAGAAAGCAGAAACATAAGTTCGTACATCCTTTATCAAGCCCACTGTCTAATTCATCCCGCAAAGCATAGAAGTAAAAGAAGCAGCGATAGTACTTGGCTTAAACTCAATGTCAATCTTGATTTATACCGGTACAGACTTAGACCTACTCGGCAGCAAGGAGCTCCACAACCACGAGCACGAGCAGCCAGATGAGCAGAACGTAGGACCATGCATGCTGGAAACTGAGTGCCAAGTACCTCAATTTACGGCTTAGGGCTTACTTGTAGAGTTTAGAGTTGAAGGATCTGGGCAAGGAAAAGTCTGTGGCCACCCCTGGACTCATGAACGTCCACGGACTTCTCGCTATCTGGAGCGGGTCTATGGGACCGCCTGGTGTACGGCCGATTTGCGGTCAGGCCTTGGGATGCTAGGCTGATCAAACTTCTTGAACGCTCCCCCTCGGTTGGCGATCCCGTTGATGACATTTCATAAATCCGGTCCCCCCCCCCCCCATTTGGCGATCGCGGTTGATCACATATCTGCCACGGCCAACTTCCAGCGGCCCGCGCGTGCGTCGTGCGTGCATGCGTCCTCCCGCGGCCCGCGGCTCCGCGCCCGACTCAACCTGCACCTGGGCAGGGCCAAGGGAGGTGATCAAACCTAAGCCTGCCAAGCCAAGGCCGTGAACAAAGGACTTCATGCGTGGTGCCACCAGGGACGAAGCGCAGCGTGTACTGGGAAAGCTCTATGTCATGCGACTGCTCACAAAATCGAATAACTTTGGCCGTGGATGCTTCCAACGCCCACTGGTAGCCCATGTGTGCGACAGAAACATGTGGAAGAAAGCGACCTGCAGGCAAGACGTGAAAATTAGTACATGTACATGTTTCAGCTTGGTCATTCTTTAAGTCAGGGTCCGTTTTACTCATCAAGACAGCAACCCACTCTTGCAACCAGGAACTCAAAAAGACTGTACTTTGAAGTATACCTTTTCTTGGCGTACTTCTGAACCCCTCCTAAAAGTTAAACTTTTAGCCCAGATATTATAGTTCATATAGAAACCCAAAAAGTTAAAGTCTAAAGAGCCAACCAGAAGAACGCCAAGTTTTTTCGGGACCTGCAAGATGGGTTGATAACCCAATGTTCACACGAACCTTTGGCGCCTAAGTACACGGTTTAGGGTTTAGGGTTTAGGGTTTAGGGTTTAGGGTTTAGGGTTTAGGGTTTAGGGTTTAAGGTTTAGGGTTTAGGGTTTAGGGCTTCGCATCAGTCATACTCTTCCGACTACCCTTCAGATTCTCGCTCGAGTGCAGCCACTGGCATTGTAGGCCTTGCCCGGTAGGCGGAACAGACATTGAAACTTATACCTAATCCTTACTGTCGTCGCGGCCAACACTGCACATGCTTCACGGACAATGCTACTGTCGTTGCTGAGGCTGCTGGTTTTGCAGCTGCTCTTTGCAGCTGCTCTGGCTAAGACTCTACCCTCAGGATCACTGGGATCACTGCCACCTTGGTATCGCAGAAGGAGGAACCCTCAACTATATCTGCACCTGCTAGCCACCCCACCCCCCTACAGTACGCACTACACCAAGTCATCGTCATGAACATCAACAGCATCGACATCATCCAAAAATAATGGTCAACATCATCCAAAAATCATCATCAACATCATCCCAAAATCATCCTCCAACACACTTGCTCTTAAACATGTTCAGGCAACGTTCCATTTTACTCGGTATTTACAGTACTTTCGTCATGTAGGATCATCATAAGCAGCATCAAAGTCGACTTGTCGAGTTTGCAAACTCGAGCTTCGGATGTTGGACTTGCTTTTTTGGGGGGGTGGTGTGTGCGCCACCTAGTGTCCCCGAAAAAAAGGCTTCCCCCACCCGAATTCGAGTTTTCGCCGCAAGCCGTTCGAGACACCCAAGTTTAAGACGCACAGTCCAGAAGTAGGGGTGGCAATTATATAAGAAAGTACGACATCACGAAAGTACTGTAAAAACCGAGTGTAAAACGGCTCTCGTGGTGATATTGTTAGTTGTGTTTGTGCAACACTGTCGTCATCATCCCACCCCCACCCTAAGTCCAAAATCAAGAGGCCGAGTTTGCAAACTCGGCAAGTCGCTTTTGAGGCTTCTTGTGATGATCCTACATGACGAAAGTGCTGTAAATACCGAGTAAAATTGACGTGCTCTTAAGATGGTTTAGAGCAAGTGTAGTTGGTAGCGGGGGCGCCTACGACGACTACGACTACTGCTACTGCTACTGCTACTGCTGCTGCTACTGCTACTAGTACTAGTACTAGTACTAGTACTAGTAGTAGTAGTAGTAGTAGTAGTACTACTACTACTACTACTCCTGCTGCTGCTGCTACTACCACCACTACTACCACTACTACTACTACTACTACTACTACTAGTAGTAGCAGTAGTAACAGTAGTAGCAGTAGCAGCAACAACAATACCAGCAACAGCAGTAGTAGTCGAGTGGTCATCACCATGGCAGTAATGAGTACAATAATCAGGGTGCCAGTAGCAGCAATGCCAGTGATGGCAGAACTTAGTGACAAAGGTGGGATGAACCCTATTGTCGGAGCATTTAAGATAAGTTGAGGCGTGCAGGTTTTTGTAGTTTCAAAGCCTCAGGCTCCACACGACTCATCAATGTGGGCCTTTAAACAAAGGTGGTGTATAAATATTACGCCTCAGCTCTAAGCCTTACTGCAAGCGCCGTAGACTTCCGACCCCGAGCTGCTTGTCCCAGGATGGCCGGACAGGAGACCCCGGAGTGGTGGCGGCCCTAATCCAGAGAATCTTTAGTATGATTCTCATGAATACTGCGGTTAGCATCATGATTGTGATTGTTACCAATCTTATTACCATGCTATCCACGCCTATAGTTATCATCCTGCTTCATTTTGAGCATGTTTCTTCTTATCATCATCGCCATATGGCGGGGTGAGCTTCGTCTTGCACAATCATCTACGACAACATCTATACTGTGCTATACCACGCTTTAGTATGCTATGCGTTACTCTACCATACCGTAGTATACTATAATCTACAACCCTAAACTCTAAACCCTAAACCCCTTAGGTCAAGGAGGCCCCGCCGCCTTCGCTCTCGCGAGCCGGGGCGAAGGCCTTCCTGGCGCAGGCGCATGGGTTTGGGGCTCAGGATTTAATGGGTCTTGGTTCCAGAGATATGGCTCCGATGTAAGGGTCTGACAAGGGACATTCTGCGGGTTCTATGGTTCTACTCGGGTTTGTGTACGAGTTTCCGCCTCCAGTTCAGGTGGGGAGCCAGGTTTCCAGGCTTACGGTTCAGGCTGCTGCGTTCGTTCGTGGTTCGGGTCTACAGTTTAGTTTAGGGTTGCGGGCTTCAAGCATGGTTTCATGTCTGCCCGAAAGCATTCGAAGAACTTCCCGCGTCACATTGGAATGGAAGATGAAGAGGCGCCTAATTCTGGCTCCTGACATCGAACCGGCTCTTGGCAGCGTCTTCGGCTCAATCCACGTACATTTGATTCTAAGCCCTGCCGCTCTTCTTGGTCATGCCAAAGTCTTTGGTGCTCTTGCTGACCGCCTCATTGTGGAGTGCTTCAGCCGTCCGCTCTGGCCCAGGGGAGCAACAGGAGGCCCAGCTGTTCCCACACCGTCTTAAAGAATGGAACCTCGACACGTCGACGACCCGGATGGGCCTTGGCGTGCTGGACTTCATCTTAGGTTTGGAGCCAGGGGCATGCAAGAACTTTGACTCCGAATGCATCAGACGCAAGCTTGAACATGATTATCCAATGGAGTGGGAGGTGTTCTGGCTGTACACGCATGAAAACGGCGGCATATTTGCCAGTGTCTTTCAAGACTACTTGGAGCACTGGCAACGGGTGAGGTTTACATGGGCAACAGCGCATGAACTCTTGATCTTTGCCGACCCGAAGCCAGGGAGCCGTGTGTGTAAGGGAGCGTGAAGGCGCCTGGCAGTGTCACACATGTTGCCCGCTTTGAAGGCGAAGGAAAATAACACGTGCTCGATTCATCTTGTGCTCCTTAAACCGCATCGTAGAATAGTACTAACTGGAAGCATAACCTTCGAGTCGAAACGACTGCCGCTAACAGCAGTATTTGTAACAATCGTGGCAACAGTAGCGCAGTAATTAACGGTGTTCACTTCTGAAAAAATAGGGCCGGATTAATGAAACAGCAGCCGGACATTTCATAATTTCTACTACAATATGATACTATATAACATAATGCAATATATTTCAGTATAAGATAACAGAATACAGTATCATATAGCACAATGTAACATAATGTAATATAAGTATGTATAATATATTAGAATATATTTTAAGATAACATGTTGTAGCATCAGATCGTAACATCATGTAACATTATGTATCATTATGTAACATAACACAATAGAATAACATAGAATATAACATGATAAAACATAATATAGCATAATGTAGCATTATGCCATACAATATAGTATATATAACAGTTTGCTACAAAAAAATCAAGCACACTCTAGCGTGCCAGGGTGCCTCGCCGGCAGAGGTGGCCGGCCCGGTCCTCGTGTCACGTTGATTCATTCCGGCGGCCGTTGATTCTGTAGTTGGACATCCCGGACCATGCGATACCCCAGTGAAGGTCATGCCAACTTCGCTCAAGTTCACGTCTTGTTTCGGACGTGGTTGCTTTCAGGTGCCGTGGCTCTGAACTGCATGCTGTCTCTGATCGCCTTCGGCAGCCTGCGGGCCCATTGCACCTGGTTGCCATGGCTGATGTGGTGTTTGCAGAATCCTATATGGGTCGGGTTTGGCATGTAGACTCCTACCATCCTGCATCCGCGAATGCACCGTCAGCGGGTAGTACATCCACCAGCATTAGCATTCCACCGCCGTCGTCCTACAGCGCACAGAGTCTGAACTGCAGTGGCTCAGCCCAAGACCCGTGATGCCAGGGCAGGATCAAGGATCGCATGGATGGCAAGGCTGGCTCTGCCGGGACCACAGCGGCTTCCACTGCATCCAACTTGGCATCTTCGGGGTCTTTGGTGGACTTAGAGGGAGGAGGTGAAGTGCTTGCTGTTCTGGTGTTAGGATCCCTTACAGCAGATGCCCATTTCCGAAACCGTTCCACCTGAAAGCGTCAGACAAACTGCTCACTGCAGGTCGCACCCCAGAGGCGCCTGCGCTTGCTTCTGTACCAAGCAAAGAGTCTCGAATTTATGTGCTCCGATCGCGGACAGGATAGGAACGGCAACAATCCGCAGTATAGCTGCCTCTTGTACTTGTAACAACAAGAGATCTCATCCTGACGACCTCACGAGTCTCGCGACTGTGGCTTCGCCAGGGCGTGACACGTTCAGTGAGGACTCAGGACATCCCGATCTCTAGTCACTAGTCTCCTCGGTCAGCTCGATTTAATCGTAGCTGCGATCTCGCGGGCGGACCGTCCAGAAATTGCAGTCCAGAGTCAGATGCGTGTGAGAAAAGATGCCGAGCGCCCAGATCGCCCCTATCGGAGAGTCAAGCCTCAGTGCAGATGGTCCTGGACCACAAAAAGCTTACAAATCTGCAAATGAACGCTTCGGCTGGGGTGAAAGACAAAAGCATCAGATTGGATGTACTGGCTTGCCTAATGGGGGCTCGTCCCTGGAGTGCACCACGCCCGAGGACATACTAGCCTGACTTTGTTGCCAGCTGAAGTGTTGACCTTTCCATGGCCAACGAGAGGGGATGCAAGCAGGGAGTCACCGGAAGCCAGCCAATTTCTTCCTAGCTGCCGCGAGATTGCAAGATGTTCAACAAAATACTGCCAAATCCCAGTTTTTGTGGCATACAAGACGATGCCATATCGACCATGGTATGGGAGCTGCGGCCCTGGCAGGGGCCTCAAGAGCCTGGTGGGACCCTAATGGTCTGAACTCTCGGAAGGGTAGCAAGGGCTGAATCGTGCTCCTTCCAGAAATTCCCAAAACAGCACGTGAAGCCCTAGCCACAAGCCCGTGCCTGATAAGAGCGGAAGAAGCCGCAAGTTCCGCTGAAGGCCTGCATCCCACTCACTTCCGGGTGGTCTTTGTTCCAAGCCCAGCATCTGCCAGAGAGGGGAGTCGGATCGGATAGTACAGTATAGCATATTCCAGCATATTCTGGTGTATTGCTGTACATGCTGAAGCATGAAGCCTTATAGTAGAGCACGGTCTGTTCTCACATTGGTATGGTGAAGAATGGTTTGTCGTGTTGCATCATAACGTCAACATAGAACGTAATACGACGTGTTTGCTCTGTGTTAATCGAATGATAGGTTCATTTACAGCGTCTCTGAGATTGTCAGCAGCGGGTTCTCGGGCGGTCCATTGGCTATACCCTTGTGCAAAGGCCAAAGATGTCCTACATCGACAGAACAACTGCTTCAATCTCCTGCGCATGGGACTTCACCCTGAATCTCAGAATTTCTACCGAACACAGTCTCTGCCATGCACGTGAAGGCTGTCGGAAGAAGCGCTGCACCTCGAAGAGAGCGAGCGTCCTGCTCCAAGTGCAACTCGGAGTCTGCGTGCTGCTAAGATTGGAGGCCAACTCTAAAACCCTAATCTCTTGTGTATGCATGGACCGGGAAAACATCCAGGGACCTTCTTCCATGCCTTAGACTTCCATGCTCTGCAGGCTGGTACTGGTCCGAATGCCATGGGCTAGGCGCTGTTGGCAAACCGGGTTGTGGCGGTTTTACGAAGGTCTTTCGAGGAGCTCATGGCATACACACACACATGCATACATGCATACATACGTACATACATACATATGTATATATACAAAGGTATGTACGTATGTATGTATGTATGTATGTATGTATGTATGTATGTATGTATGTATGTATGTATGTACGTGGTAAATATGCATTGATATGTGTATGTATGTATATATATATATGTATATATATATATATATGCAGTTGGATTTATGCAGGTAAGGTGATGTACAAATGTTTATATATACATGTATATGTACGGATAGACATGTATGGATAGACGCGTATGTCGGTACTTGGAAGGCGGATAGATGGAAGGGCAGAAGGATGGATGGATGGATTCTAGATAGATGGATGGATAGATAGACAGATGGATAGATGCATGGATGGATAGACAGATAGACAGATAGATCGATAGACCGATAGAGAGGTAGAGAGATACATAGATAGACGCGTCAGATATGTTTGTAAGATTCCGAGCTTTGATTGGGTTTGTTTGCTAGACTCGCAACGGAACCGCACCCGCACCCGCAACCGCGGTTGCTCGAGCGGTTCCGGTTCACGCCAGTACCGAAGCTTTTGGACTTCCCGCCGCCACCCCTGCTTCCGCCCCGCTGTTCTTCAGTTTGGCCACCCGTTGCCCTTCTTGCTCTGTCACGGGTTTGCGGCCAAACGGCGAATCAGCTGGCTCTGCTCTGTTCCCGCTTCCGGTGCCCGGTCCTGTACTTCTCTGTACAGCTCGGCACCGGTCCGGACACAGACGCTTTCCGGCACTGGACAAAAAGGTAGCGCAGGCTAACTTCTGCTGCTTGGTACCGGACCTGTGACTAGCGAACGGTACTGTAACATATGTCGCTTGCTCCTATTATAGCATATCCCGTGGCGCCTGTTCTGGCACGTGATAGTACATCGCTTCGGCTTCTATCTCACAGACCGGAGTTGCGAGGCCGAGTTGGACCTGTGACCTGAGCTGCTAAAGCCAGAAGTTTTCGAACCCTTGAGCCCAGAGCTAAGCCCCAGAGCCTTTAACCTTAAAGCCTGCCGTGGCAGAGGCCTTCGAAGGCCTCGCTTCCTGGACTGCGAAGGAGGGAGCTGGGTTGGGGGCCCCAGGGTGTCTTAGCTGATTGTATAGCCTCATGTCATGTCATGTGATGCGATGTCGTGTCGTGGCAGTGTTGCTACGCTCTGGTAAGATATCGTGCAGCATGTTCTCGCATGAATCATGGCGTCTTGCGGCTTGCTATTTGATCGCAAAGGCTGCAGATGCTGCAGCATTACCAGGTATGTGACGGTATATCGTAGTCTACTAAAATTGTTCGTGGATATGCAACTACGCATATAAACAAACATGTACAGAAACACTAATCAAGTCGAAAAACTAATGCATACATCAACTAGATCAACAAAGAATTGAATGCACGTATCTGCTATAATTATATATATATATATATATATACATACACACAGACACACACATGCAAACACAGAGATGCGCATCGAAGCCTTCCGCGCCGAGGACCCTTCATGGGCCAGCTTTCGGAAAGAGCTTCAGGAGGATCCGCCAGGTGTGGAGGGGTTTGGGGTAAACACCCTGCTGCGACGATCTCGGAAGAGTAGTGCTGATGGCTGTTCTTATAAGAATATGAAAAGCAATGATACGTAGGAACAGTAGTGAGACCAATCATCATGTTCCTTTTGAGGCCGACAGTTGCTGGAAGCCCGGCCCCCTGGAGCTGCCACTGCGGAGCTTGCGCACCAGCCAGGGAGCTCAGAAGCCGGACGGCTGGGTTTAGGGTTTAAGGTTTAGGGCATATGGGCTAGTACAAGGGTTACTGTTAAGGGTTGGTAGTAGGTTTACTAGAAGGGTTACTACAAAGTTGGTATTGTTTGAGGTGGAACTTAGGGTTCAGGGCTTGGGATGCAGTTTCGGGTTGGGGTTTCCTTCTGTCTCGTGGTTCCCGAGGCTCCTCCAGAGCTGGACGGGCGAGATGGAGGTGGAGCCGGATCCTCACCCTCTGTCATCTGCCGGGGGCTTCCTAGTAGATTTCGTGGATTGGCGCTCGAAGGAACCTCGCTTTTTCCGTGTGCCCCCGACTCGTCCTCCTGACTGCGCCGGCTGCGTTGTCGTCCAGTTTCAGAGCTCCTTCTGCTGCACGCAGCGTCTGAGGCCGCGGCCCGTCGACTGAAGAGAGTACGAACCGTTTCCGGTAAGTCTAATTGATGCAAGAAAATAGCAAGGCGGAAAGCTACTAAAGTCGTGGAGCTGAGGTATTCATGTGGTGCCGTTGCTGCTGTTGTTTACAGTTTCGTTATTGGCTTCGTCGCGTCAGATTCTGATTTCAGGCGGGGCCATCTTCTTTTTGCACGCCGCCTCGCGCGCGACCTGGCGTCGCCGCTGAACCAAGGCCAGATGTTTGGGAGGTGGCGCAAGGCACAGGGAGAGTTACCCATAGGCCCTAAAGTAGTTCCTTTTTGGGGTTCAAATAAAAAACCCTACAAGGTAATCCCCAAAAGGAACTACTATGGGGCATATGGGTATTTAAGACATAGGATTTGAGCTGTGCAGTGAGACTTGCAGCGAAGCTGGTTCAGTGTTGCAGCTGGCTTGTGGAGAACTCCCTAAACCCTAAACCCTAAACCCCTTATACCCGACACCTTTTCAGGCGAAGGAAAAGAGGTGATAAAAAAAAAAACCTTTTGATGCAAGTAGGGGCCCAGTTCCGGAATCGAGCCTTGCAGGCGACGGAAGGCCAACATACGTCTACCCGGCAGGCTTGGTGGATGCTAAGATCTTAGAGATATTAAGCACTCCGACGCCCTCCAGCAGCTGCATCACAACCCTGAAACCCAAAACTTTTGCACCTCACAGCCCGGAAGCACAAACCCCAAAATCCCAAAAGCACTGAAACGAGCCCCCAAATCTCACAAAATCCTGTGTTCTCTCTTGACGATCCCACTTGACAAGCAAGGACTTGAACCCCATCTAAAACTACATCAGCTTCTTGGAAGGCCCGAACCGCCCAAGCAGCTCTAAAACCCTAAACACTAAAGCCCTAAGTTCGAAACCCCTGAGCCTTAAATCCCTAAGAGAGTTGGGGCCAGGATCAGAGCAGCGTCGGACCGGACGGCTCTTTGACGACAAGGAAAGGATTTATCATTTCAACGCGCTTCCTGTTTGGGCGTGGGTTTGGAATCAGCTTTCACGGGTTAGACGTTTTGTTACTTCTTGGGATGTTTGGGGTGTGGTGATGTTTCGTGTGTTGCTGCTTGGTTTTTGAGTCACTTCTTATGATGGGAGTAAGGGGTTGTGTGTTGTTCTCCACATTATACGGGTATTTGTTCCGGGGTCCTGATCGCAGTGGACGAACATGGGCTCTTTAAAGGGTGCGCCAGTCGGTCCTGATTTGCGCTGGCGGGGACGTTTCTCAGAAGCCCTGACAGAGCTTCTCGGAACTCCCCAAGCAGAAAGCACCTCAACCCTAAACCCTGAACCCTAAACCCCAAACCCTAAACACAAAACAAAAAAAAAACCATAAACCCTAAACCCTAAACTGAAATGCTGCTACTGAGAGGGGTGCTCGGGGGGGAAGGGGGGAACGGCCGAGGTTTCATGAGTGATCTCGCCTTCCAGGGCTTCTGCCTCTACGGGCGGGAGCCTTGAGTTTGAGGGTACCGGGGAGGAAAGCTCTCTTAAAGGAAGGTCGAGCTGTGATGTTAGCAGAGTTGGGCCAGACCTTTGCTGGGAACTTGACGGCTTTGAACCGTGGGGATACAGAAAATGGCTACGAAGGGAGATTCGATATCGCCTCTTTCATTCAGCCCTTCCTTCGCTTCCATCAGGCTCGTGTGTGCTCTCTTCGCCCTCGACTCAGTCAGGTGCCAGTGGTACTAGCCCCGACCGAGGTCGAGCCGGGTTCAGCCCATCTCAATCTGCAGCTTGGGGGTGTCACACCGCGGTTTCACGAGGCTCCAGTCCCACGAGGATTGACGTGAAGGGCTGAAAGGCCCCTTTGAGGCTAGCTGCAGCCTGGGCCGAGGTCCGAGCTGTGGAGCTTCTGGTGGCACCCACGGAGGTCCGGGGAGTCGGGGAGTAAAGCGACCAGCCTTGAGGCGACGGGAAAGCATGCGGAACCCTGATTGGTCAATGTATAGGTAGGAGTTGTAGGGCCTGTAGGGTCGGGAGGTTTGTAACCCAACAGACAGTGAAGAACATCCCCATGTTCAAGAGCCAACACAAGTGTAACCCCTCGGCCCAGCTGACAGCATCGGTCGGTTCAGCGCGAACCTATGAACGTCCTGGCCAGGAGAGTATGACTTTGGCATTGACCGGGGTGAGAGTCGCGGGCCTCTCGCGATTTTGGGGAGCCCCTTTGCAACTTTGCTGAATGTAAGAGTGACGTGGAAGTGGAAGCCGTCCACATGGTTGCGGAAGGAAAGTCGCATAAGATGGGTTCTTCTAGGTATCCTCAAATGAGAAAGCATGGCATCTGCCCTAAGGGGATCAAACGGTTTGGCCCCTCCTCATTCGCCAGGCCCTTGGGCTTTTGGGTCCAGTTTCGGAACTGTCCTTCCTGGAGAACTCCTGCTGGCCCGCGCCCCGACAGTGGTGCAGATACGGCCTAATGCTGTCCTGTGTTTTTCGGTTCTTCTACACCAAGGATCCTAAGCTCTACATAAGAGCGTTGTGCCATATCCCGAGCATACGGACCCCTGGAAGGGGAGCCATGGACGGCGGCCGGTCAGGGTTTTCCCCAAAAATGCCAATCTTGAACCCCTGGCAATGGCCCCTGCTAGTAGTGCACACTTCCTGCAAGAACCCCAGCTGGCACCCCTGCAATACTCATGTTGCCGGTGAACGGTGTGCAAGAACACCCATGAAGGCACCCTTGTAGCATCGATGATGTTAACGGTGAGCCCAGACAGTTGAATGCGCTAAAGCACAGCGAGTGCCTTATTTTCTTACAGCTAACATGAAAGGCATCCTCATGAACTTTCCTACCAGAACATGCCCCAATTTGCCTACAACCTGTTGGGCGTGGCCAGGCCTTTTAGCTGGCTGGAGCTGCGCCTGCTGGTGCGACGTTTTGGGAAGTGTTGTTATAGCGCTGTAACTAGTATAGTATATGACTATTAAGTGTTACTAATACTAGCATTATCAGTTTTGTTTCTATGACTATAGTTATTGTTATTATCATTATTGTTACTGATATTTGGTTATTATTATGCTATGTCATTTTCATACTGTTGCACTGGGCTACAAGATATTTCGGTGGACGTCCTGTTTTCGCTCGCCGAGTCGTTTGCCGAAGAAGCCTCAGCTGGATCCTTCCTAGGGCCACAAAACGGAAGCCTAGACATATTTTGTTATGATACAATAGACTCTCAATGATGGCATAAGACATGAGAAGACAAGATAACATAGCACCAGATATCTATATCAATATCCCCATCTATATCTATATCTATACCTAAATATACATACACAAAAATAACGAACGATGTATATTACAAGGATCACGGAACGTGCCAGGAAGAAGGGCTCGTCAAGGCGCTGTCCACTCCTGAGGCCGTGGGCCAAAGGGCCAAGATGTGCCGGAGAGTCAGCAAAACTGAGTAGAAGTGACCCACCTGAGCCGCTTTGAAACAACGAGACCATGCGGTTAAAGAGTGCTCCCAAGAACTGACCAGATGGAACCCCACTGGCGCCGGCCGTTGGAGGGGCCACCGAGGCCGCGCCGGGGAGGTCTGAGCCTGCGTCTCTGTGCGTCTCCTGCTTTCGCGCCTTTGTCTCTGTGCTCTGAGCGTCGTGCGATCCGAACGCAATGTTCAGCAGGTGATCATGTTCACTTCTAGGCCTCAGGTAGTGTCTGAAGCCACGAACGCCGAACACAGTTCGTAGGGGCTGAACCAGCTTTCCGGTGGTGCCTGGCAGGATGGAGTCTGAGGTCGATCTCCACATTGTGATGGTGTGCTACCTACTTGAGGGAATGTGGGGAGTCCAGAGGGGCTTAGTGCTTCCGGGCGGGGCTGTTCACCACGCGTTGAAGTACGGGCCCATCTGCACATGGTGTAAAGGCCATGGCCCTGCCGGAACACCCTGCCGTGGTGTTCTTGGACACAGTCGAGGCACAGATGATAATTCGTCTGTGCCCGGGCTTGTGAGGATGTTGTCACTTTGAATTTGTCAAAAAGTCCAGGAGGGTCGGAAACCATCGTCTGCAGATCGTTCGCAGGGCGGAGAATCAGCCTGCTGCTCCAGGCCCAAGCGCGCCACCACTTGCAACAGGCGCACGTCTGTGCCTGACCGTCCTGCGGTGACCGCACCAGCAAGATCCGTCCGCAGCGACTTCTCTGCCCTTGCAAGGTGTTGGGCCCGAATCTGCGCGTCGTGGGCCTGGGAGATCATGCCACTGCTACGCTGGACGTCGGGACCACCCAGCCTTGCTCCGCGCTCGTTGGGTTGTGACAGATTGGGCTCGTTTCGTGGGGACAACAACAAAGCCGGGCCTCGGTAGGAGGGCTGTTGTGAGAAGAGCGCCTCAGGGTGACATGAAGTATTGATGGCACGCTTCATAAATTTAGGGCTCAAGAAGGTGGGTAGAGCTTCGTGATCAGTTTAGCTGTCACAACTTGACACTGTGTGTGTGTGTTTTTTTTTTTTTTTGTG